TGGCAGGTGAGCACTTGTTCCAGTATTAAGAATACTTGTTGCAGTATTTCAGCCCACAGAAGCAGCTTCTTTTCTCTTTTCCATCCTATCACTGCAAGTACACTGAAAAAACATCCATGTGAACAAAAAATTGAAATCACAGAAAGTATGTATTCCTCATTTATTTATAGCATGGAAGGTTTTATCCATATAAGGATTAAAACTGGTCAAAGATACAATCTTCTATGCCACCTTGTTGCCTTGCAATTTTAGCAGTTTTCTGGGTATTTCCCACACATGGGTTTTTTGTGTTTTGCAATTCCACACCAACTTATTAAGATAGATTTTCTAAATTTATGCAAATCCCTAAAATACTTTGCCTTCTTGAAGAAATTTAAAATTGAGACATATAGGTCTCACTGGAGCAGCAGAATAGTTAATGCTGTGAGATTTTCCAGTAGTAATATCTCCAGAATAAATCCTGACACAAATATATATATATGTGTGTGTGTGTGTATATATATATATATATATCTCCAAACAGAAGATTCACTCAGACAAGGTTTGTGTGGAAAACACAGACTAGCACAGTAATAGCAGCTAGGCTTATTTTTGTCAGACTTCTTTAAATGCATATAATCTCCAATAGAAAAAATTGTAGTGGGACAAAAAATCTGAACTATTTTGTTTGAAGGAGAATTACATGCTGTCCTTTCCCCACTCATTTTAGCTTGCTTTGGTAAATGCATAGTTACACTAACAACAATTTCCCAGAGCTATAGACCACATTTTAAAGCAAAACGTAATTCCCGTATGGGTTTTTTTCTTATGGCAGTGTCTTAAATATAACTAGGATACAGAAGACACTATGGCTTTTCAAAAAGCAAATACAAGATTTCATATGAAGCTAAAGCCTCCGCTAACCTCAAGTTGAACAAATAAAATTAATACATATACAACTAAACTCTGAGTTCACACCGTCTGAGTTTGAAATTTAAAGAAGACCTTTTCATTGCTTTCCTGAGTAATGAAATCCAGGTAAACTAGATGCTTTACTTTGCTGTTCTGCTTTTGTGGTATGGTGTCGTATTGTTTTCCAAGGAATGAGACAGCATTTCAGTGATCTGTGTTTCACCTTTTAATCACTTTTGAATACAGAGAAGAGCAAGCAGGGCACTGCCTGTGGATTTTCCAATTCCCAAAAAAACCCCAGTTACAGATAAGGCCTAATTTATTGTTTAAAAGAAAAACTATACAGCAGTGTATCAGAAGCATATATGTAGCAAACAGCAGCATACCTTCAAGCATACGGAACACATAAGTAGGCACGTCACAGCTCTGCTTCCAACTTTAAACTAGCAGAAAAACAAACCTATTGAATTGTTCAATTAGAGTAATTCTTGTCCCAAAAGAGCATTTAATAGTATCCATGGAGGCCTCAGACAATGCATTTATACTCTGCTCTACACAGCAGCACCAACAGTAAACCTCACACTTTGCAATTCTGTGCACACAAAATAACAACTTCATGGATATTTGCGTTTTGTTTGGTTTTTACTCCCTCTACCCTACACCATGAAAAGGGAACTATGTCCAAAAAAAACCTCTAAGAGGACTTGCTATCTAACTCAATCTAGCATGTAGTCTAGCCTGTCAAGAAGCATGCTTTTTACAAAATTTACAGCTTATTACATTATACCCAAATGGAACAGAACTTCCTTATTTGAACCATCAAGAATTGGGACACAGTATTTTCAGCAACTTCAACAATATACATGTGAAAAATAAACAAGAGAAGAATTACAGGCAATATCCTTTAGCCCTGGAAAAAGGTTCAAGCTACACTTCTATTTCTTCTCCTTTTCCCTCACTATCTTACCAGCCTCTCGGTGTCAGAACACTCTTATACATACACACTAAAGGAGTGACAACACAAATGAGTCCTTTAAGTTAAAAAATGTGTTGGTCACATACCTAAAGGGCTTATCAGATGTGCTGTGTACATCGTATCAGATTTGTGTGTACAAATCCATGCAGATTTGTTTGTAAGAGAGGAAACTAAAATTCTAATTATACACATTTCACTGTAAAAAAATTACACGACTTTCATAATTTTCTTCATGCAAAGAAGAAACAAAACTAAAGGAGTTTATTATTATCTGCAACACTGTAGTGGGAGAAATCTTCCACAGAAGACAGGCAACAGCGTTAAGACAACATAACGCTAAATCACGAACAGAAATTGTATCGAGTCACACAGAGAAATTGTACTCGGCTACCTGTTTGCAGTCAAACAGGAGCGGACTTTACAGCGCAGCTTTCGGGAAGTGCGCATTTAGCAGGGCGAACACAGCACTGAACTGCGTTCCACGGGCACCCGGGAGACACTTTTCATCAACAACGCCACGAGTCTGGCAGGGGGCCCCTTCCTGCAGGTGCCGGTGGCTATTTCGGGAGCGCCGGGCCGGCCCGGGAGCCCGCCCCGCCGGGCTCTGCGGGCAGAGCCGCGCCACGCGGCCTCACGTACAGGGGCAGCCCGGGGCAGCCCAGCCCAGCCCGGTCCGGCCCGGCCGCGGGCGGAGGCCTCGCTCTGACGGCACCGGAATGGTGGGGGGGAGGCGGGCGCGTTCCCGCAGGCGCGCCCCCGCGGGCGGCGGCGGCGGGTGCGCGCTCCCGCCGGTGACGCGGCGCTCCCGGCCCGGCCGCGCCGCCGCCCTCGCCGCGCGCCCCCCCGCACCCCCCGCCCGCGCACGCGCCACCGCCCGCACGTGCGCCGGCAGGTGCGCGGCGGCGCCCCCGCCCCCCCACCCCCCCGCCGAGCCCCCCCGCGCCTGGCGGGGCCCGGCCGCCGCTCTAGACCGGGGCTGGGGGGGGAACGACGTCTCCGCGGCCGCCGGTACCGCGGGGCGCATCCGGCGGGCAGGGCGGGGAAGGGGCCTGTCTCTTTAAGAAGAGGCCCGGCTGCTGCGGCCGCCGGTCGGCGCGGGGGGTGAAGCCGCGGCCTGCCGGGCCGGCGCCCCCGCTGCCGCCTCCCGTAGTCCCGGCCCGGCGTGCCCTTGCGCAGTGGCCGCGGTGGCTCACCTGGGTAGCGGGCCCGGCGGCGACGCGGCGGCGGCGGCGGGGGGCTGGGGGTGTCTCCCGGGCTCGCTCCCCCGCTTGCTCCACCCGGCCTCTCGCCCCGCGTTGCCGGGGCTGGCGTTGCCTGTCTCCTGCCGCGGGGCGCTCCCGGCTCCTGCCTCGCCAAGATGGCGCCCGCGCTGGTGCTGAGGAGGAGGCGGCGGCTGCGGGCGCTGGGACGGCGGCGGCGGCCACTTTCGCTCACTGAGAGGAGAGGAGCAGGGACACGGGGAGCCATGGCGGGGGGGAGGAGAGGCGCCATGCCCAGGCCTGATCAGTCGAACCCCGCATGCCTCCCCGCCGCCCCGGCCCCGCGTCTGGGCCCCGCCGCCCCGGCCGCGCCGCCGTGCCCGCGGCACGGACCCCACGGCGGCACGGCGGGGCTCGGCCCCGCGGGGACCCCGCGGGGGGCCCGCGCTCATCGATGCGCTCCTGCTCCCGATTGGTAGGGTCTGGCGGTGACGGAAATTGCCGAAGGGACTCGGCCGGGCGAGCCAGCGAGTCTCGCGCGAGGCGGGGCGGGGTCTCGCGATGTAGGCGCGGGGAGGCGGGCGTGTCCCGGAAGTGACGCGCGCTCGCCCTTGAGGCGCCGCGGAGCGCCGGCCGCGCTCGGGGCTCATGGCGCTCGCTGTGGGGCCCGGGGCGGGCGGGCAGCCGGTGCCGGCCCTGCCTGCGCCTCGCGGAGGCCGCCCGCGGCGGCGGGGCAGCTTGTGCCGGCCGGGCAGCTTGTGCCGGCCCGGCAGCTTGTGCCGGCCCGCAGCCCCGCAGGTGACGAGAGCGGTGAGGGGCTGGCGGCGCTGGAAGTGGGCGCCGCCAGGGTTAACACGCGGGGGCATTTGGTGAGGCTGCGTGCGTTCTGCCGCTTTCGCTTTGTCATGCGCTACGAGAGGCGTTAGAGGAGCTCCGGACGAAACAAGCCTGAAGGTTAATTGCGAAGATGTTTTCCACCGTAAACACGGTGTGGCCCTGTTCAGCACTGCTGCCTCTCAAAACCCATTACCAAGTACACTTAGAGCAAATCCTTAAGTGGATGATTAATCCGTATCAACTGCTGCATAGCGATAAAAATCTGTTATTTCATGACTAAGCTATGTCACTCCAGCGCTCAGCAGTTTTGGCTGCATGCAGTTAATTGCTCAGTAGCTGAGACTATCATGAGTTTTGCATGCAGAATAAAAAACTGATATTTTGAGTTTACTAAATCGTGTTTATCCTAAGTCGAGGACTTTGTCGTGTTTCGTCGTTTGCCACTGAGAAGGAAAATAAATCTTGGGAGGGTGCACAGCCGCGGCAGCTGACCTGAACTGACCAGAGGGATATTCCATACTACGGGACATCGTACCCATATAACTGAGGGCAGCTACTTGGAAATGAGGCCGATCTGGATTCAGGAAGGGAATCTGGCATTAGTCAGTGTGGGGTGAGCAATTGTATTCTGCATCACTTGTTTTTCTATCCCTTTTTATTATTATTTATTGCCCTTTTTTTTTTTTTCAATTATTAAACTCTTATTTTAAACTACACGTTTTATTTTGATTCTCTGCCCCATTCCACTGGGGCAGGGCGGGAGGGAGCAGCTTCATGGTGCTTAGATGCCAGCTGGGCTTAAACCACCACAGTTGCTAGAATAGAAAAGTAAGATCATGGCTACTGCTCCAGTAAAACCTCACTAGAGTTGTCCTTAACTAGTGATGCTAATTGTACCCCTAAGTACAGCCAGGAATTGCATTGTTTAGGAGGCATGCATGATTTGGTTGCATGGTAGTACCACGCTCAGACAGCGCTGGTACTAAGCAGCGTCACTGTGGCCGATGGACCATTAAAAAATCAAAAAAAAAACCAAACCTTTTTTTCTTCTTGAAGAAAACGGTAATTTTTAATCTTCTGCATCAGTGAGCGATGACTCAATTCCAATATATTTATTTTCTTTATGCTGTTGTCAAAAGGGAACCAAAGGGGAAGTGGTACTTATATTTACCCAAGAAAGTTTTGCCACTTGAATCATTATAGTGGCACAGATGCAACTAGACTGTGAGGTCTCTCTCTGGAAATCCTTTTCCATGACAATGCTGTTCCAGAGATCAAGTCCTTGGAAGAGGCTGAGAAAGCAGCTCAGCCTCTTATCAAGAAGGGTAGCCTCAGCAATTGCTTTGAATCCTGTAGAGACATTCCATACTATATCCCAGACTTGATGCTTTCATCTCTCAGCTCTTGTTCCCTCCCTCTTTCCCTTAACTTGATATATCACTATTTTCTTTCTGAAATAGGACTGCATGAACACAGATACTTTTGGTTGTGGAGATACAACCTAAGTGCTCTTGATCTGTCTCTGACAAAAGAACCTGCATGTTCCACACTGTACCCCACTGATCTGTGATAACCCATGACTGTTTGGAAAAAATCTACTTTTTTCAGTTTAATGACAAAGAAAACCTTGGCAGTTTTTCCATCACTCTGCCAAGTGAGCAAGTTTGACTTACAGTTTCAAATGAAGACCTATTTAAATACTGCCAATCTAGTACTTTGTGGGGAGAGGTAGAAAACATAAAAAACACACCAGAAAAACAACATGTTCCCCCTAAAAATATTTTTTAAATGTGCAGATACATCATAAACACAGTCACACCAATTTACATCCCAAGAAAACCAATTCAAACAGGTAGTGGCATGTACTCACATGCAGATGTAACATCCCTTCCAAGCTGGTGTCATTATTATTCCCACCTTTGCAGTCTGATGCCCAGATTGTTCTTGGACTGCAATCTGGTTGGCACGGTGACCTTTGACCTCATCCATTCTTCCCTATTCTACATTCATCAGTGTTCACCAATATGTCAAAGAACTTGTTCTGAGACTGAGGCCTGGCCTACATTAATTTTGTCCTGTGGTAGAGCAATAGTATTGCCCTAATACTTTATCTTGCTTGGGGAGGGACTGGTCTGTACCTCCTAAGCTGCTTTTTACACACACACCACACAGCACAGTGGTGTTACAGCCTTATCCACTTGAACTGGATGTGGCAGCACTGGCAAACAACAGTGGTGATGGTGGTCTGCAACTTCCAGCAGGAAGCTGCTCTAATGAGAATTTTACATACCTGCAACAGGTAACAACCAATATAGTTTAAGAAAGTGGTCTTTTAACAATGCAAGAAAAATAAAAGTCACTCTTAAAATCAAAAATAGCTCTCAGAAAAAATGGATCTCAAAAATAGACCTAGAGAAGAACAGTCAGACACAGCAAGAATTTCCTCCAAAAGACAGAAGACCATCATTATTTCCATTCAACAGTGGGATGTTGAATTACTTGTCATTATAAAGTCAGGAGCTTTTGTTTGACACCTCTGCAAGAGGAATAGCCTCTTTCTTCACTTGGATGTCTCCAAACACCCAATCCAAGCTCATCAAATCACCTGTGTCAGAAGTGAAATTCGTACAGTCTGCTTGAGGTAATTTTAAGGCCCTCCCACAGATTTTACCATATGAATTTGATTTTCAAGCTCTGCTTTTGCTCTGCTTTGACAAAGTACATCCTTGACTGTTGAAGGATGTGTTTTGAGACCGTGGTTTTTTTTGTGGGAAAGCAATCTCCATCATCTCTGTAGTTTCTATCCTTCTGTGGATTGTTTCTCTCTATTAAATTCCATGGCTGGTTGGATGAAAAGACCATCCTCTTTCATTCTGTAGTCTTCTATTGCTTTCTCCCTTCTCAGTTCCCGCATGTCTGCCAGCTGACCCCGCGCCTCTGGCAGCTCCATGCAAGTGGGCTAATAAGGAAAAAGAAACAGAAAAGAAATCAAATCAATCAAAATGAAATAACATACTATAGTTTTGTTAGAAACAGGGCTGAAGTCCCTCTGTAATTAGCCAATGAAACACAACAATCCTGCTATCACATATAGCACAGCATCTTATCTACTGCAGCTTTACCATAAGTGCACTGGGGATATCAACTGTGCTGCACAAGGGTGTGGTAATAGCTCTGTGGTACCAGAGCTCTGCATGGGAACCGGCACCTCTTAAACAAGAGGACTCTGCACTTCCAGGAAAGTATTTGCTTCTGTAAACCAATGGGTTCCCAGGCATCTGCTGCTTTGAATTTAAGTCCTAAACATGAGAACACGTCTGCATTTCCAAGTACCTAGCAAGGAGGGTTAAAAATGTAGCACATGTAGCTCCTTCACTAGCTCTTTTGTATGACAGAGCTCAGAGAAACAGGAACACATTTTCCCGGGTGTCTGCATCCACAAGAAGAATTACTGCTGGCAGACAGTTACAATGAAAATGCAGGAACTGCCAAGCTTTTCAGGGTGAGAAGTTTGTGTTCGTTTCTCCCCTTCAGCAGTGAGGAAGATTATCAGTTTCTGGAAGATACGGAAGAGGGAAGCTGAAAGTTTCGATAATGAAGCCCTGAGGATCAGAGGTCACTGCTTTGCATCTGGTTTGTGGGTAAAAAGTCAGGGAGTGTTCTCCCCTTGCTTAGGAGGGAACATCCACCATTCAGAATACTCAACTACCACTTGCAGATTATGACACAGGAAACCACAGAAAGTGTTGACATACCTTTCCAAAAACATCAGGATCAACAGATGCCTTTCTTTTTATTTCCCTCCTAATTTTTTTTATTTTCTTTTTCATCCTCATCTGCCAGTAACAAGAATGTTGCATTATCTCTTTTGGCTGCTGTGAACCGCTGGCAATACTTTACTGTTGGTAGTAAATGAGACACAGGTACATGCAGTGATGCAGAAGTCAGAAATCAAGCACTCCTGAATATGTTGAAGACCAAAAGGATAATCTGACCCTAGTAGGAGCTCATTTAGTCAGAAAGTGATTCTGGTATTTTGCTACTCCACATTTGGATTTTAAATATGTATTGCAAACAGACTTCAAATAAAGTCTACCCACAGGATATAGAAACCACAGAAAATTATTAACAGCGAAATGACAGTGAAAATGGCTCCTTTTGCTACCCATACTAGATTTCTAAAGCCAACCACTTTAGAATCAGAAAGTATGACAACCAGATGAGATATCAAATCAATCTTCAAAATACCACTTGAAATACCCAGGATCAAGTTAATTCCTTGGCTGACCTAATAGAATAGATGGATTTACAAAAGGATTGTCTTCAGCAAGCTGAGAACCACTTTAAAAATTTTACAAACAGCCCAATACAAAGCAGAATTTGTACTTTCTTCCCTTTAACAAACTGTTCTTTTCTCTTGTGTCATGCTTACTTTCGTATGCATTTCACATTGTAAATTCACATGTCAAGCTCATTTTTTCCATGAACTAAGAACAACTTTCTTTTTGTGGCAGCTTTCCTCTCAAGAGAAAAGATTTTCAAATATGACCTCCTCTCTTATATCTGTAACACAACTATGACCTCTTGTGGTTATCTAATCTACTCCTAAATCCTCAATAATGGGATTTACAGCTCTGAGCCCTTAAGTAATTCCTAAAGTCTCTGCTTCAGTGCTTTGTTAAACTGGGGCAAAAAAAAAAAAAAAAAAAAATTCATTAAGATAGAGCTGCATTCTCTTTCCCTAATAAATACTTCAAGACATTTAAAACTGCAAAAATGACGCACTAAAAGGATTTAATTATGTTAGTTTCATCTCTTTCTTATGCATGAGGATGTTTGACCATGCACTTTTCACCCAAATTTAATACCAACAATATCTTAGTTAGTGCAAGCTCTCACAAGATTATGTCATTGAGCAGACAGAAAAAGACCTCACCAATACCACTGCTTGTTTGGTTTGCACAGATTTGTTCTTTCCAGCAGGAAAGAGCAGAGCAGTAAGTCACATTCTTCTCTAAGTCACCAAAAATCTCATTTCCTCCACTTTCTGCTTTAAAAATTAACAAGCAATTACAGAAGTCTCCACCATCCGGCCACTCCAAGGTACCTGAGCATACACTACGACTGTTCTATGTAACCAAAGATGAAAAATGCTACTTTGATTTTTCACTTTTTTTTTTTTAAGATAACAATTGTGAAAATAAATGAGGATGACCAGATAACTCAGTCATGGTTTTATAGAAATAAAAGTCTTTGGTGAACAAACATTACTCAGAAATAGTGTATGCAAACCAGCTCAGCAGTACATAGGTTAGGGGAAAAATAGAACAAGATGTGGAGACCAAACATTCTCACCAAAACAAAGCAACTCTGTCAGCTCCAGGTACCGGCACTTTACACCTGCCTGTTGCTCTTCATATGCTCACACACACAAACAGCCCCTGATGCACCCAGTGGTTCTCAGTCTCTGAGGAGAGTGAACAGAAGGTGCAGGTGACTGTGCTCATGCCTTAAGAGCTGCAACTCACCATTCACTAGGCAAACATGGGATGGGTTCTGCTACTGAACTAACAGGAAATGGAGCTAGGTAGATACAGACACCAGCACTTCTGCTGCTGCACACAGGAAACAAGGTATGTAGCATAAAGCAAGGTATACAGCCACAGGAAAGGAAGCTTCTGGTAACTGGATCCTCCAGAGTTTATCTATTGGAGCCTTAGATCCAATCACTAACCAGAGAAATAATCAAAGACAAACCTACCTTTGTGCTCACAAGGTGATCTCCAGATCCAGTCCAATAAGCACTTTAATAAGTTGTTAGGTCAGACATCAAGTTATCCATTAGAGATGAGTGCAGCAGCAGAAGATACGTGGCTTTCAGAACAAATGCTTTAAGCAGAGAACCTAGGAAGGGTCTCAAGGACCATATATCAGGATTCTCTTGCATATCCCAGTGCAGATGAAATCAGTTATTGTTGTGGTTTAATCCCAGCCACAAAATCAATACCATGCAGCTGTAAAGTCGTTCCTCTCAGCCCCCATTATGGTAGAGAGGAGAACTGGAAAGAAAATGTAAACCTTGTGGGTTGAAATAAAAATAATAATTTTTTAAAAAGCTAATAATATAATAATGATAAATGGAGGGAGAAAGAGAAATAAAATCCAAGAGAAAAAGTGCTACACAATGTGCCATCATTGTGTACCAATCAGCTCCCTTCCAGGTAACTCCTCTGGTTTAAATACTGGGCATGTTGTTCTATGGTATGGAATAGCCCTTTGGCCACTTTGGATCACCTGTCCTGGCCAAACTCCCACCTTTTTCTGCAGCTCCTCACGGCAGAGCATGGAAAATTGAAAAGCCCTCAGCTTAGGGTAAGCACTACTGAGTAACAACCAAATCATCAGTGTGTTGTCAACACTATTCTCATACCGAATCCAAAAACTACAGCACTGCACCAGTTACTAAGAAGAAAATGTACTGTGTCCCAAGACAGTTATTTAAGTTGAAAAAAAATTAAGAAAGCTTTTCATCATAGACTTCTGCAGTTTACAACATATTTCCTGATGTTGATCTTTATTTTCAGTGCAACTGAATGCTTTCAGTGTCTAAGGCCGTCTGTGTACAAACCTATGCTGGTTACAGAAGCAGAAATTTGGAAGGTGAGATTGATTCCTAAAAAAACCAAAACAACCAAACCAGCAAAAAAAACCAACCAACAAAACATGAACCAAACCCCAACACACGCCTATTCCAGCATTTAAAAGCTAGATTCTTTCTTATCTATCTCTGAAACTAGGTTGGATTCCTAAGAACTGAGATAAAAGACCTAAAGGAAAAAAATCCACCTCTCACGAAAGGAGCTAGAGAACCAGCTAGGGATAAGTAACATCATCAGCAATCACAACTGAAACCAGAAGAACATGAAAATAAGCCCCAGGTAACCAGCATGACCATGATACTCTGGCCAAAACTGCATTACAGAGTGGTTTACACCGGTATACTTACTGCATGCACATTAAGTGTTCATTTTCCACTTTTCAGGGCAATAGGATGATTTGGTCTGGTACTAAGGAAGGCATGTTGTCATTTGGCTTAGGTTTGCTGTACAGAATTCTCAAAACAGAAATTTTAAGAGACACTATTGGAATTCTAAAACTTACATAAAAATAAAGCTGTGTTTGAATTTGAGGTTTCACTGAGTAGCTTTTCTAGAAATATAAAATAACACTTAATCCAGGCTTTTGGAAAAGATTTTAAGTCTATGAACAGACAGCACAAAACTACTTGTATTTACTGAAGAATTTAGAAGACTAGAATGAAGGGATAAAAAATGCCATTGTAGGGAAAAGATTATTCCTGTTTGGTAAAAAATCTTGCCTATACAGTGAGGTCTCTTTAAGTATCAAATATCCTTATTTAATAGCTTCTCTAGAAGTCATCTCACCCCACCTCAACCCCTCTCTAGCACAAAAAAGCAAGGTCGTATGATTAAACATCCTAAAAAAATTGATAGAATCATAGAAACATTTAGCTTGGAAAAAACCTCAAAGATCACCAAGCCCAACTGTTAAGACAAGTCCACCACTAAACCACATCCCTAAGTGCCACATCCACACATCTCCAGGGATTGTGACTACACCACTTTCCCAGACAGCCTATTCCAATGTCTGACCACCCTTTCAGTGAAGCAGCTTTTCCTCATATCCAATCTAAACCACCCCTGGCACAACTGAGACCATTTCCTCATCTCGTTGCTTGCTACCAGAGGAAAGAGAGTAATCCCACCGAACTACAGCCTCACTTCAGGTACTTGTAGAGAGCAATAAAGTGCCCTCTGAGCTTCCTTGTCTTCACACTAAACAACCCCGGCTTCCTCTGACCTGCTCCCCCTCACAGGACTTGTGCTCCAGACCCTTCACCAGCTCCATTGCCTTTCTCTGGACATGCTGCAGCACCTC